TCTGTACTCAAGGTTCCTAATACCAGGGACTAGTTGTTGTTGTTTTTTTGTTGTTGTAAAAAAATAATATGTCCTTGTCAAATTCGAAATGATTTAGAGAACTGTCAACTAATCTCTCTCTCTGCATATAAATTCAGGAAGTAATGAATACGGGAGTGAAGGAAGGAGAAGGTTAAATATGGGGCAAAGGAAGGAAGGTTGAAGGAAGAAGGAAGGAAGGAAGGAAGGAAGAATGAAGGCGAAGGAAGGAAGGATGAAGAAGAAGGAAGGAAGGAAGGAGGAGGAGGAGGAGGGAGGAGGGGGTATGAAGGAGGGAAGGAGGAAGTGAAGGAAGGAAGGAGGGAGGGAGGGAGGGAGTGAGGGAAAATTGAAAGGCGTGAAGAGAATCTCACTTTAAAGATTCTATCAGAGGCTCCTCCGCTACCTGTGGCCGCCCTGGACGTAAGTGAACCCTAACTTACCCCCCACGCACGCATGCAAAGACTCACACGCACGCACACAATCACTCACGCAAACACTCAAGCATGCAAGTACTCACACGCACGCAAACTATGACCGACTTGAATGTGTGGACGTGTACCCAACTCATCCCCCACGCACGCACGCACGCACGCACGCACGCACGCACGCACACTCTCTCTCTCTCTCTCCTGCATAAGACATGTACCGTACAGATTCTTTCCTCATCAATGACACGCAAAACATCTTCTTCAAGTTCCTCCTCCAACGACTGATGCATAAACAAGTGGTTGTTCCTCAAGTGTGAATCTTTAACCTTGACCTCGACCTTGACCTGAGTCATCTACTCACTTCTAATCAAGGACTAACCTAACCTAACCCTTGCTTCGAATATCCCTGCCGACCGTTACAATACAAACAAGGCAATTAAGTCGTTAGTTTATAATGTAAGTCATGCCGCCACACTGGAAAATAAACATCAAATTTTTTAAAAGTTTTATTTGTTCTTTAAAAAAAAAATTAAAGTATGACAAAACTAAGGTGTGAATTTACCTATGTGACGTCACAAATACCTCATACATATCCACCCCTCTTCCACCCCTCTTCCTCCCCCTCTTCCTCCCCCTCTTCCTCCTCGCCCCCCTCACAATGGTGTTTTAAGAGTAAACATCTCACATACACCCACTTGCCCTCTTTTCCCCTCCTCCTCCCCCTCTTTACTCAACCTCTTCTCTTTCATTGCCCTCCCTCCCCCCCCAGCAGCACACGTCCAGATAAAGAATTATGAAAGAGGACATTGAGCCCCCAGGTGTTGTTTATGAGAGCTCTTACACCCCTCCCATCCCCTCCCACAATGCTGCCCCCCTTCCCACGTTCCCTGTCCTTTCTTCACTGCCCCTCCCACATATTGTTCTCCACACTCCTCACCCCTCCCACAGTGTCCTACCTCTTCCACACTGTCCTCCACACCGCTTGTATCCCTTTCCCTCTCATACATACATACATACATACATATACCATCAGGCCACCATCACCTCTTTCATCCTTCTATTTACACACTGAGACCTTGCTTCTAATTGGCCTGTCACTCCAAAACTGTTCAATATCTTGCTCCTGATTGGCCAGAGCTGTCAACCCTTGTTCAAGATCTTTCTGTTGATTGGCCCGTCATTCCAAAACTATTTAAGACCCAGATCTTCATTAGCCAAAATTATTGAAGACCATTCTCCTGATTGGCTCAAAATTTTCTCCCTTTTCAAGATCTTAATCCTGATTGGCCCATCACTTCCAAACCTATTTAAAACCCATCTTCTAATTATCCCGAACATTCACTCCAATTGGCCCATGACTTCAAACGTATTCAAAACCTTACTCCCGATTGGCCCATCACTCCAAATCTATTCCAGACCTTGCTCCTGATTGGCCAGAACACCCACCCCTCCACCACAACAGATCATCCCATAATAACACCTTTTCCCCTCGAGGTTATATGTCAACATCGTCTCTCTGGGTTCAAACCTTTAATTGGGCTGTACATTTTATACTTTTATTTCTTTTGTTTTGAAGAGAAGAGAAAAGAAGATTTTCATCCATTCACCCACACACACACACACACACACACACACACACACACACACACACACACACACACATATACACACACCACACAACATAAAGATCCTCCCCCACACACCGAAACACATAGGCAACACAGAAAAGCAGAATCTCTCGACAGTTGGGAGACCACAGACGGGAAGAGGTTTACATAGAGACTGTTCCCCATAAGCCACTGAACTTGTTAACGTACTCAAGCAGCAAGTAAACCTGGATGGGAACGAGCGAGGGAAGGTGTACCTGTGTCTCGTTATAAACCTCAACGGCTCAAGTGGAGAAAAGACGGCGAGGAGGAGGAATTATGGAGTTTCTCTCTCTCTTCCATTAAACACACAGTATGTAATTGGCAATTCAGTGGTTGGTAATTTATGCGGCGGCCAATAAGCGGTGCCTTCGTTATCGATAATTGTATCTAGTGATGGGAATTTCATGTGTTCTCCCAGACAGACACAAAACAAGAGAAACACAAAATCCAGTCAGCTGTTTCCTTGCATAAAACATATCAACAGAGTTCCCTCCACCCTCCCATTTTTCCCTTCTCTCCTGTGTTCTTCTACCCCTCCTTCCACCCCTCCCCCCTCCCTCTTTCCCTCCCTTTTCCCTTCTCTCCTCTGTTCTTCTACCCTCCCTTCCATCCCTCCCTCCCTCAGCATATTGACACGTTCCTCTCCACTACAAAAAGAGTAACTTCTCATTACGCCAGACAAATACAGTCTATTCTAATTATAGGTGGTTGTTGGGGAAGCAAACACAAGAGCTGGTGCTGCCAAAAACTGAGGGAGGTAACCACAGTGTTACTCCCTCCCTGGGGCGGTGGGGACAGCCTCTGGGGACAAGAAGGTGTGGGGAGGAAATACTGAGACGACGGACAGGTTCAGGATATAAGAGGGACGTGTGGGAGGTGTGGGGGACGTGTGGAGGTGGGACGTGGGGTGGAGGGACGTGGGTGAGGACGTGTGGAGGGACGTGTGGGGGGTGTGAGGACGGGGGGTGTGGGGACGTGTGGGAGGGGGACGTGTGGAGGTGTGTGGGGATGTGGTGGGATGAGAGTGTGGGGGTGGGGATGAGGGTGTGGGATATATAAGAAGTGTGGGAGGAATGATGAGGTGCAATGGAAGGTAATGTGTGGGGAAAAGTTGGGGAGGTGCAGAGAGGGGAAGTGTGAGAAGGAGGTTAAAATACAAAGATGTGAAGGGTGGGGAACGAAGAATGTAAATAGGGGGAGAAGGCATTAGCGAGGGTGTTGTGCGGTGAGGCTGTTAAGATGGCTTATATGGAGGAGGGAGGCTTGGAGAGTGGAAGGGAGGGAACTAGCGAGGGAACTTAATTACCATATCAATAAAGTCTTCTAAAACAAAAACACAAACCTAAAGTTCCTCCCAAGACCTTCCCACAAAATCAAGGTTACTGAAGAAGAAGAAGAAGAAGAAGAAGAAGAAGAAGAAGAAGAAGAAGAAGAATAAGAATAAGAATAAGAATAAGAATAAGAAGAAGAAGAATAAGAATAAGAATAAGAATAAGAATAAGAATAAGAAGAAGAAGAATAATCCCCTGCAATAAACATTTCAATTCTTTATCTCTTCCACCAAACACTTCAACACCAACGTCGCTGAGAAGTCTCCGCCAACAATCATTTCAAGTTCAAAATCACAGAATAATCTCCTACAGCAAGTAATTGTTTGTAGCGACGCCCCAAGCAGTATCATATCACCTTATTCTTCTTGGTTATCGTAAACACAATACAAGAACACTATAGCGAACACATAACAAACATCTATGCCAAGACAACAGGAATCACAGTGTTCATTCTGACATTCATGAACCCCCCCCCCAGTAAATATAATTTTTTGAGTGACTGTACACAATAGAACTACTGATGGATAAAGACGACATATCCGCTAATGAAAGTAAACATTCAACTCTCGATATTCTGTACCAAGATAAGATAACTATTGACGCTACATAAATGAACGAATGTGGTAAAAGGATCCTGGTTGGAAGAGGAAGGAGAACATAACAGAAATGACAGAGAAGATTGTAATTAACAGCAAAAGATGATGTAAAATTCATCAAAATCTTTAAATATATTTCTTCAGTATATTTTTTTATTTCCGATGACTTACCATATTCACTATATTACAGTAAACTTCTACCTCTTAAATTCCATAACTTAATTCTTACAAGCATTTAACTTTTATTCCTTTTCTTGAATATAGTACATTACCTTGTCGTATCTGGTCACCATCCACTGTAGTTCCTGTTCAGTTCAGCACAAAAAAAATCACTGCATCACCCACACATACTGACACGTTATCAGTGACCACAAAAGTCATTCGAGCAAGAAATGTAAGTCACTCTGGCTTACTTGTGGGAGGATGGTGTGTATACATGTTACCACAACACCAACACCACAACAGCACTGGATCAATACTATTATACTACAGTACTTGGGAAACACGCAAAAACAAATGAACGAAATAAACCCAACACTACACTACACTACACTACAAAACAATCCTGGTAAGGTGTCATATAACTCCTGAAAACACAACCTCAACAAAAAAATTTCTCCACATATATTCGTGAGTATCCAGGAACCTGATTTAAACACAGAGGTCAACCAGAATGCAACAGACTAATATTATCCACATAACAAAGGTAGACTAAACTACAACAACCATCACTAAACAATGCCATCCCTCATTCAGGATTTCAATCACAGCAGGAATACTAAGAGAGAACAAACTACATTACTCAAAAAGACACACGTCAATACACAAAAGGTTTTATGACAGTTGAACATAAAGAATCATCTTGAAGGATTGTCCCCACCAGGCATAGGTTCTTCTACACTACAGTGATGAAGTACTAAAGCATACAGTACAGTACAGGGTAATTGGGTAAATAAAAATCATGAACGGTGAGAAAGTGAATCTGGCTCAGAGTTAACTAACCTGGTATCCTTAGGCCACCTTAAAAAAAAATATAAACTTGTTGAATGTCATGTACAATAATTAATCAAAACACAAGAACTACTTAGGCTACATCATCTGACTACAATGATAGGACAGGTACTTGATCACTATGGTCAGACAGCATGGCGAAAGTAAGAGAGAACGGATCGGGTACTCACTGGACATTGGACGGGCCCGCATGGGAGTGTTGACATGCTTTAAGGTGTGGTCCTTTCTAATGCTTTCCATGAGAAGTTCCATTGGAGACGAGATTTTTCGTGGTGGAGGGAGAAGTTTTCGCTCTGATGCCTGAAAGAAAAATGACCAATGCATATAATCTTAGGAGCCATCAATAAATAAGAAACAAAAGATTTCAAAGTATACAGTACAGTACCCTGATGTCCAAATAAAAGCTGGCCAAAGAGCTCTTGTTCCATCTTCTTCATAAACTTCTACTGTATATGCTAAATACTTTTTCTTACATTATGGTAAGGACATGCCAGCTGTCCTTCCTCCAGTCCTTAATCAATTCCAAAAATCTAATCTAAAATAACCGCAGTCCTATTTGTGAGGTTAAGACTCTACACTATCACCATCTGTATTCGTCTTATACAGTTCTCAGCCTGTTCCTGCTTCCTTATACCTTCTTTCAAAGCCTAAATAAGTTCTCGCTTCTTACCAAAAACAGATCAATACCAAAAAGATAAGAGAGTTGTTGATAAGATGTTCTAAACGCCTTCTGCAGTTGGGTGCTTGTTATGTGAAGATAAGGAGATAACTGGTTAGTAAAAGGTCAGGTATCTAGAGATTCTGTCTGTAAATACCATTCCTTCATTTATTCTTATTTCTCTCTATGTTAAATCTTCCTCTCCACACAGCCTGTTTCTCAGTTCTAGATGCCATGGTTTATGATACCAGAACCATATTGAGAAATACCCTTCATCCCATTATCCTCCTCCAGTATGCTCACTATGGCAAATCTTCTCACTCAGAGCAAGTAAATGATTGCATCTTCAATTACGTAGATACCAAACAAACAAACAAGCAAAATTCTTGAGCTAATGTTTCAGTAGTTGCCTTCAGTACTTAAGGTATGGAGAAGGTCAGCGCCTAACATATGTACAGGTATTTGTGATGACTTATACATGTTATTACTCTTAAGTCCATGAGTAAATAAGGAATTCAAGATGTGTAAAGATGTATAGGAAATACTCTCTTAATCTTGCTTAGTCCCTCTGTACACCAGGATGAGACAGGATGTGGAAAATGTGGTTACTGACCATATTAATGTGCACTGATCTTGATACTGTTGAGGAGAGCTGAAAACACTGATCTGTCTTTATAATAAGGTAGTAAAAAGTAAGAAAATCCTACTCCGAATACTGTATTAGTGCCTGCAAGGTAAGTTGACTGATGGTGATTGTCACTTGGGGTCACTACCAGATAGCATCCTCTCCCTTACATGCCAAGGTCTCACATCCCCTGAATGCATCATTGTTCAACCATTTAGAAGCTCTCAATATAAACACAGTTGTTCCCCACACCCTATAAAACAAACACCACACTCCAAAAAAGGCTCCTTACATGACCCAAACAGTCTTTGATAACATAATACAAGAGAGCTAGATGAATACTTCTTCCTGATACACACCATAGTTGACAGGTTATCAGTACAAAATAAAATACTTCTCCACCAAAATTTCTCTCCTATATGACTGAGAAACAACAATGGAATAATGAATTGTTTCACATTGATAAATATCCTTGACATAGAAGGAAACCAAACTTCCCTACCATCCAAGGAATGAAGACTCCATCCTGTGTAACACATCTGTCTTAACCCCAGAGTCTTCTAACAACTCCCACCACCGAGAAGAACACTCGAGCTTCCTGGGAAATTAAGCCATGCTGTTTGTTAATCTAGCTTTTAAGAACAAAACACAGAAAGAGATCCCTTAGCTCTGCCTCAGAAGCTTCAAAAACTAACTTCCCCAGTATTTGCTCACACTGTCTGGGAAATTTCCTCCATCAGATGCTCAACCTAATCATTCCTCATATTCTACTCAAGACCTACTCAATGGAAAATTGTCATAGTAGTCAACTTAAGACTTTTTCTGATTCACTAAAAACCTGCTGTGTACAAAGAAATGTGTATTCCCTTTATGTGTCTGCCCTTAGGACAATTATTTCTTTTACCTGTAGTATTGTATATATGTGTGTGTGTGTAGACACACACACACACAAAACATACACTACAAATCAATAATAATTGGAAAATCCTCTCACAAATAATCAGAAATGTGACAGTCTACCCTCAAATTCGTGCTGTATTACTAAAGTAATAGAGCACGAATTTGAGGGTAGACTGTCACATTTTTAATATATTTGTTTCTGATTATTTGTGAGAGGATTTTCCAATTATTATTGATTTGTAGTGTATGTTTTGTGTGTGTGTGTGTCTACACACACACACATATATATATATATATATATATATATATATATATATATATATATATATATATATATATATATATATATATATATATATATATATATATATATATATATATATATATATATTTACAATACAGGTAAAGGTAATCACTGTCTCTAGAACAAATGGCTCCCTGTCCCAGCCGCGAAAATGCCGGCCACTTGGAGGGCATATTGTACTGTAATTTTAAAGATCATGATAAATCAAATACCTGTGGTACTGTATAATAAAGCTAAGAGCAGTTTATGGTGTTGCCTTAACTGATAGTGAGAAGACTTTCTCTTCACTTCCAAGGAAATATTTCTGTTGCCAGTTTGAGCAGCATGAACAGCATGTTGTTGTATGGCAGTGAAACACGGACAATTAAAGATGATAACACTCATAGACTGAGTGGGACAAAATGATAATAGTGAGAAGGATGTGTAATGTGACACTGATATATACAAAAATCTGTTGAGAGCTAAGAGGGAGGCTGGGTATTGAGAGCATTGGTGATGTTTTACATAAAGGTCAGCTGAGAGAGTCGGGGCATGTGGAGGAGAACTACTGGGTCAAGAGTTTGAATGTGGCATGGAAGAGAACCAGGAGTAGGAATAAATGAGGAGAGGTTGTGAGAAATGGCCTTAATGGGTGAGAACCTGATGAAGGACTACAAGAGACCCTGCAGCCTGGGGAGTTGACACAAACACAGACCGGCGTGGAAAATAGTAATGATGATTTATGACACTTTGTTCACCTTGACTTGTTTTGGCTGAGATCCTGAAACTTTATCAAATTCATCTTGGTAACCTTATGGCAAAACCCAGTGGTGTTACACACTATGAATGTGTGCACGATCTAGCTGCACTGGGGGTAAGCTGCATTCTTTCTCATTTGCTCCTTTGTTTAACATATGTATGATAATTTATGATTCCACTATATGGAAATCAAATTCCAAATACAGTATGTACAGTATACTGTATTTTGAAAATCCATCTCCACTTGCACTCTTAACCGGCCAACTGAAGGAGAAAGACTCGTTCACTGAATAATATGTTGTTGTAAAGCTTAAGTGATAAATTATCATGGTGGTACAGTATTGTGTTTTGGGAGATAATTAGATTTAGTCTTACCTTTCTAAGTGGTGGGCGTGACCTAATAAAGTCCAGGATTATAGTGTGAGCGTCCTTCTTGACACGTGGAGGTATGTCACCATTTACCATGACCTTGTTGAGAGTGTATCTGTGGGAGGAACTGATGGTTAGCTCTTAGTTTTGGTCTCACATTATTAATACACACCCGACGGATCTGACTTTCATGAACAAAATTAGAATACTGTCCACAGCTAATTAATACTTCAGAGGGCTTGATGGTAATGCATTTTGGACCTGAATAATTATTTATCCATACAAACTTCATTATCATTTCAATTAATAGTTTTACAAAAATAAGGTCAAATGTTCATAAATTTAGAATATGTACATTTATCTCAATCAGGATAAACCTGTGATAAAAATGTTCTACTATTCTGTACAATATTATGAAACACACGTTACAGTACAGTACATGCAGTACAGTACAATACCTGTACATACTTCAGGATTTCATATTCACATTCATCCCATACAAGATAAGAAAATGGCAGTAAAATAATAATAATAATGATCATTTGCAGTAATTAATTAGAGCTTAAGTCATCATTGTCCAGTTCTTTGCAAAATAAAAATAAATCAAACCTGAAACAATTAAGTTATTCTAAATTTACAGTTTTTGGTTTGACCGTTGAGAACTGTAGTGGCAGTGTTAAACTACTCCAATAAAACAATGTTAACAATAAACAACAACAACTAGACGGTTGACCCTTAATCCTTTGTCACTAGAGTATTACAAATATCCCAATCAAACAATGGAGCTTTTATTTCGTTGTCTCCTACATTGTTATCGTTCTATTAGGTGCCTATTGCTGTCTAAATACAGACCAATTTACTCAAACATACCTATTCCAATATACAAGTGACAAAAACAGACTGAAACACATCTATTTAAGGCTCCACTTACATCAGAAAACTTAACCAAACAATAGTGACGTCAATACAAGCGTTTGACAATATATATCTTTATTTTTCAGTGATGGTTATTGTCAATTAACTGAAGTACCAAAGACACAGAGGCCAAAAGTAACCAATTTTCATCTATATTATTCTGATGTCCGCAACAAGCGAACTCCACAAACTAAACTAAATCTAATCTTAGCCTGAAAAAGTCTTATTATGGTATTAACCTGCGTGATCTGATATCGTCCATAAGCATTTCATAAGGTGTAAGAGCATACTCGATGGGTCCACGCGAGTATTCAAACTTCTTCAACTTGACGCCATTCCTCAACTCCCACATGACCTGCATCCAAAGTCGTGCCTGAAAGAGAAGAGATATTTTAGTCACGAATTCAGGGACAGTCTTAAAAAATACTTCCCTTAACCGGAAAAATTAAATATAGTATAATTGTGTATATTTTGAGCACATCTTGGCATTGTTGACCCTGAAAAATACCAATTCATCTAGCATCTTGCATTTTATATTAAACGTAATTAATTTCATTTTGGATAATATTATTGTTGTATATTTATCTAAGTATAGTTAATGAATAGGTTAATGGTATCATGAGGTGGTGTGTAGTTGGCTAGGTCAATGAACTCCAATCAAGGGTCGGCCTGTTACAGTAATACAAGCTAGATTACGTAATGTATTCTACCGTAACAAAAACATGGTAGTGGCATTTTGTCCGATTAATTATTTTGGGTGTTGAGATTCTGTCCAGGGGAAAAGCTTTATTAGGATTTTGTCCAATTGCTGATATGTGTTGGTCAGCCCACTTGCGGTCATTAGTAGATGAGAGATTTTTTTTCCTATACAGCGCTTCAGTATATTTCTTGGTCTAATACATTATCACCAAACCTTACAGAAGAAATGTTGTAATTGTCAAAATTCGTTGGAATCTGTTTTCGGGAATTCAGATTTTTACCCAAACATAACTTACGGGCTAACATGAAATCGATTTATCTAACGAGCGCTAGTTGGGTTAAGTTATGTAAGAATTGTGAATTTCTGGATATGCACTCAACGAATTTCGATAATAATAAATTTTCTTCTTTAGAGTTTGATGAGAAAAAATATAAATTACCCGCTTCTTCCATAAAAAAAAAAATACGGAATGCAATCTGCAGCGTGACTTTTACATCTGCATCGCCAAATAAAAAATCTTCACTGAAAATTGTATTCATATTACTGAGAGAAAAAGCTTTAATATGAGTTTATCTGCGGGTGTATGTCAACAGGTGTCCTGCCGCAATACATCGACCCTTCCCTCCCAGCAATGCGACTAATGTTAATCAAGTACCACAGCAACACAACCCACTAAACTAAAGTGACTAAACCATATATTATTTTTTTTAAACCAAACGAAAATAATATAATCCAACGATATAAGAGCAATTTAAATTTTGTTTTAGTTAAGCTTGACAAATCCGGGTCGTTACAATAAACAAAGGGAAAAAAAAAACAGTGAAGTGGTTCTGTCCGTGGTTCGTTTGTAACACTAGGCACTTTCGTCCCCCCTCTCGCCCGACTCTTTCCAGGTGAAATATGTAGAAGGTTCTCAATATTTCACGACCTTTCCACTGAGCTAAAGCAACTTGTTTACGGGAGGATGCGGCCCCGGGGAATCCTTTTCATCCTTCCTACATTCACAGACTATTGTATGCCATCATCATCTGCATATTGCTATCCACGCAGACACAAATATGGTATGGGGGAAAACATCTATCTTTTAACCCTTTGAGAATACGGAAGCAAATAAAATAAATTGCACCATGGTAATTCGATCAATAAATGCTCGTTATCTACTACAGAAGTACAGTAATAGATGTCATTTATTTATTCTTATAAGGAGGATTAATGATATATGAGTGAAAATAGATATTAAAAAATTAATATTGGTTACGATACTTTCAAACAAATGACTATCGGGCCATCTTGTCTCGCGTATAAAAGGTGTATTGATTTAAAAGATACGACGAATTGCTCTATTAAGTAAGATATCTTGAGTCCTTAAGTAAGATGATTGAATCCTTTGAGTATACAGTCCTTTCATTTCATTGTATATTCCTTTCCGTAAGATGATATCGTACTCAAGGTGTTAGGTCGTCGTACACAAGAGCGTTAAGTTATCGTGCTCAGGTTAAATTATCATACTCAAGAGGATTGCCATCGTACTCAGAGGGTTGTCATCGTACTCAGAGGGTTGTCATCGTACTCAGAGGGTTGTCATCGTACTCAGAGGGTTGTCATCGTACTCAGAGGGTTGTCATCGTACTCAGAGGGTTGTCATCGTACTCAGAGGGTCGTCATCGTACTCAGAGGGTTGTCATCGTACTCAGAGGATTGCCATCGTACCATACAGGGTTAATTCGTCGTACTCAGAAGGTTAAGTCATCGATCGTACTCTGATACTCAAGAGGGTTAATACTAAAGCATCACACAACTTCTACAAAACAACAACAAACGTTATTCTTTTCACTTCTTTAAATAATAGTTATAAAATCACCTCTAACCTACTTAAGTTTTCTCTACAAATCTGCACCGCGTATCATTATTTTTCCTTTGTTTACTTTATTGTCAAGGAATGTATAAACCAAGTGTGGGTGTGGACACGGTGGGCGGGGCGGACCGGGAGAAGGGAATGTGTGTTGGGACATTAGTGTGTCCCCTCACAGACCCCCGGATAACCATCTCCTTGACTTTAAAACACCACCAAGACAACAGCTTCAGGAACACACCACGGGGGGTACAAGGGTGGGGGGTAGGGGCTCAGCAGGAGGGTCACGGTGGGGAGCCAGTGAGAGGGTTATAAAGCCATGAGAATCAATGGCCGGCGCCCCCCACCTCCCCCCCCTACACACTCGACGCACATGTTCCCTTTAATCTGTTCTAACACGCAATCATTATCCCTAAAACTTATAATAACCACCACCAACATGTAAAATAAGTTAATTCTACTTATTATAATATAAAAATATCAAGCTTGCGGCCCAGTCGCTAATTTTAATCACATCAAACCGCTGGGTGTATGTCCCGTCTACTCCCACTCCCAGGAACGTCACCATGGAAACCATGACGCCAAAGCCTCGTGAGCCAATCAGCTGCTGTCGTGACGTTATGGCTGGAATTTTTGGCCAATCCCACGTCTGTTTCTCAGTGACGTCATAGAGGCTCTTATCTCTTATGATCGTGAGCCCTTTGGATTATTTATAGATTGCATTATGTCACTATAAAGCACCGCCTAACCCCTGTAAACCTCTAAACGAAGCGCGCTAAATAATTCAAAGAGATCCAACAATGCCGAGAAAAGAACGGAAGCGTCCTAAATTTATCCTCGCCATTACACTAGACCAGAGGGAAAGAAAATAAGTAATCTGGTTAATGGCTTCTCTATTATACCGGAGGTGGAGTTAACTTGTTTAATGGTTACAAAGAAAAACTTACAGATAATGACACAGATATAAATTATGTGTTTAATAGCCTTCATGACGGAAACATTCACGCTAGGAAGAGCTGGATGGTGTAGTTCTTTGTGTAGGAGTGTGGTGCCTCGCCTGGCTTGACTCTCATCAGTTCTTACGTAAATTATTCTTCGTAAATTGAGACATAAATTAGTTTATAACATCTTGATGTAATCTGAATCATATAAATAACTTCCCAAATGGCAAAAAAGTTTAGAATGAGACTACCGTACGTCTGATAAGTTCATTAAACACTAATTAGGAGAAAAGATGCCTACGTGATGCAGTATATATATATTTTTACTGTACATGACATAACGCCCTATGTATACAATACCATGAGACGTTTATATATACAGTGTGGCCACGAAATACACATATACATAATTAGCTTCCTCTAATTTATGTTAAGATAAAAACATTCCTTCATCAAGCAGTAAATCTACCTAAAAAAACTAGGGTATACAAGATCTGCATCACGAGCTCTGGCTACAAATAAACTTTATAAACATATTCTAACTTTCTTATCAACATTCAGCCCGCGGGAGGTCTAGTCCACTAATGCCATAAAGTTAATGATAAGCAAGTCTTCATGACGGGGGAGGAGGAGAGGAGAGGGAGAGAGGTGCAACTGCCAGCGTCCCCAGCCAAGAGAGTTAAACGCGGCCATTTCTTTGTTCCAATACGCTACGCTACCCCTCCCGCCCTTCCTCTCAACTAATGGGTCAAATTAGCTGATTAAATTATCTTTAGCCATCTATAGGAAAGGTATTTACGTCGTTGTATAAATATAAATGCTCAAAATAAGTGATAATGAGATGTGATGAATTTGATAGTGATACGTTAGAGTTAATAATACCAGTTTCTAGACTCTGTATATAAACTCTCAAGAGTGTATAATTAAATATACTATATAACCAGAGTATTTGTGTTAAATTGTTGGAAACGCCCGTTATCACCACCAACTGTTTTTTTCCTTCAACTATGAATTCAATGATGATGTCAACCTAATAAAGGGATTATTTTAGGTAATTCTTCTTTAAGTCTTATTTCTTGGTGTTTATAATGCTAGAGTTACTTACAGCGAGTTTTTCACAGTTTTGTTTTCGCTGTTAATTCTTTGTTTTTAACTCTTAAAATAAATCTCGTTTTTCACAGCCCGATAATTCTTCTTATTCACTATTCAATCTTCGTTCTGTAGATCCGATTACAGTATATAACATCCGATTACAGTATATAACATCCGATTACAGTAACTTTGGCCTCGATTTAACTGGATTAGCTTTTGGCAGCGATACAGATTTTTCTACCATTACAGATTTTCAGATACAAAAAAAAAGAAATAAAATTCTCTACCCGACAGCTGCAGTGAGTGACGAAGGCGGTAATGCCACGTCTACCCGCCAGCTGCAGTGAGTGACGAAGGCGGTAATGCCACGTCTACCCGCCAGCTGCGTGGGACGAAGGCGTAATGCCGTCCCCGCCAGCTGCGTGGACGAAGGCGGTAATGCCGTCTCCGCCAGCTGCGTGGTGACGAAGGCGGTAATCCTCCCCGCCAGCTGCAGTGTGACGGGCGGTAATGCCGTCTCCGCCAGCTGCAGTGGTGACGAAGGCGGTAATGCCGTCTCCGCCAGCCGTGTGACGAGCGAACCCGTCTACCGCCAGCTGCAGTGGTGACAGCGGTAATGCCGCCCCGCCAGCTGCAGTGAGTGACGGCTAATCCGCCCGCCAGCTGCATGACGAAGGCGGTAATGCCGTCACCCAGCTGCAGGGAAGCGGTAATGCCCGTCTTCCTCCATTGATCACACGTAAACCAACACTTTTATCTGCCGGGTCAGGATTTTCGGTAAAGTTGTGGTTTATTTTTCCCAGAAGTGAAAAAAAAAATATGGATCACCTGAAGATTAGCAACCAACAGTTTGTTTCACTTTACGATTGATCACCCTAATGCTAACCTAATCTAACGTAACACTAACCTAATCTAACGTAACACTAACCTAATGCTAACCTAATCTAAAGTAACACTAACCTAACCTAACGTAACACTAACCTAATCTAACGTAACACTAACCTAATGCTAACCTAACACTAACCTAATCTAACGTAACACTAACCTAACCTAACGTAACACTAACCAATGCTACCTAACACTAACCTAATCTAAAACACTAACCTAACCTAGTAACACTAACCTATGCTAACCACTAACCTAATCTAACGTAACACTAACTAACCTAACGTAACACTAACTAATGCTAACCTAACACTAACTAATCTAACGTAAAACTAACTAATCTAACGTAACACTAACCTAATCTAACGTAACACTAACCTAATCTAACGTAACACTAACCTAATCTAACCTAACACTAACCTAATCTAACGTAACACTAACCTAATCTAACGTACTAACCTAATCTAACACAACACTAACCTAACTAACTAACACTAACCTAATCTAACCTAACACTAACTAATCTAACCTAAACCAATCTAACCTAACACTAACCTAATCTAACCCTAACCTAACCTAACGTAACACTAACCTAATCTAACGACTAACCTAATCAGTAACACTAACAATCTACCAACACTAACCTAATCAACGTAACACTAACCTAACCTAACGCAACACTAACGTAATCTAACGTAACACTAACCTAACGAACACTAACCTAACGTAACACTAACCTAATCTAACGTAACACTAACCTAATCTAACGTAACACTAACCTAACCTAACAGTACTAACCTAACCTAACCTAACACTAACCTAACCTAACCTAACACTAACCTAACGTAACACTAACCTAATCTAACGTAACACTAACCCTAATCTAACCTAACACTAACCTAACCTAACGTAACACTAACCTAACCTAAAGGGGATATTGAGGAAGGAGATACCTGGAGAAGAGAAGAGAAGAGAGAAGAGAAGAGAGAGGATCACAGATAACACCACCAAATTACACCATTGTCTTTAACTATCGTCTAACCTCTACACACACACCTGTAATTCCCTTAATAACAGGTGTAATTTGACGACAACACGAGGTATAACATAAGGTAATCCCGCAGCTCAGGTATAACAATAATTAACCCCCCCACAAGGACTGGACTGGTACCCGGCTGTCAAAACAAACCCACAACAGATAATGCATTTGATCAACCCTGGGCATCTGATTGGCTAACACAATTATCTTATTTCTCTAACCAACAATTATATCTATTTTTCACTAAAAACTCTTAAATAATTAACTACACCTCATCAACTTACAGGTAAATGAATCAATTAATTAAATGACGTTTTTGAGGGAATTACCTATTGTACCTTTAGTATACGCCATCAGGGTACCAGCTTCTCCCCCCTTCCCCCTTTAAATATATCGACCAGGTGAAACGAGAAGGTCAGGACAGGTGAGACACGGTTACCTCCCTCAATAAATCTGACAATTAATAATACCTGTGGTGCTGGTGCTGGATTTCGAACCTCAGATTTAAATAGCAAATCATAATGATATATATTTAGATACAGATTACGATTTAGTACATTATTGGTACGAGTATTTTCTCCCTATTTTTCAAAGCGTAAATAGTGAAATATATCAGGATTCTGGTCTTTTTTTTAACATAATTACTATATTAAGAAGTATATACCATAATATAAGCCAATTTCACACGTAAATCACTACTGTATAATTCTAGTCACCAATCACATTAAACTGGGAATATAAAACTAAACAATCACAAATATCAATCACTAAGTAATCACCAACCACACACGAAACTTTTAAGATTAAACTAACCAATCACACGCATCAATCACTAACCACACACTAAAGACCAATCAAACTAACCAATCAGACGCATCAATCACTAACCAATCACACGCATCAATCACTAACCACACACTAAAGACCAAACAAACTAACCAATCACACACATCAATCACTAAACCAATCACCAACTCACCCAATCTTCAGACTGTAGTTCACGAAGGTCATGCTCGGAGCTGAGGAGGTCAGAAGACTGGGTAGAGAACTTGTTGCCTTGTGCCACCTTAATGAGGAAAGAGGCCAGGTCGATGGATTCAGCCACCTGTGCCCTGATGACCGCCCGATAGTGTTCGCACACCCCGCCCTCCAGGCCCCCGTTCGTCAGCCGGCTCTCACACACCTAAGGAGGAGAGAAGGGAGGGGGTATAGTTTTTGTATTTAACACTGAGAAAGGTTTATTTAACACTGAGAAAGGTTTATTTAACACTGAGAAAGGTTTATTTAACACTGAGAAAGGTTTATTTAACACTGAGAAAGGTTGATTTAACACTGAGAAAGGTTGATTTAACACTGAGAAAGGTTGATTTAAAAGGTTGATTTAACACTGAGAAAGGTTGATTTAACACTGAGAAAGGTTGATTTAACACTGAGAAAGGTTGATTTAACACTGAGAAAGGTTGATTTAACACTGAGAAAGGTTGATTTAACACTGAGAAAGGTTGATTTAACACTGAGAAAGGTTGATTTAACACTGAGAAAGGTTGATTTAACACTGAGAAAGGTTGATTTAACACTGAGAAGTTGTTGATTTAACACTGAGAAAGGTTCATTTAACACTGAGAAAGGTTGATTTAACACTGAGAGGTTGATTTAACACTGAGAAAGGTTGATTTACCAGAAAGGTTGATTTACACTGAGAAAGGTTGATTTAACACTGAGAAAGGTTGATTTAACACTGAGAAAGGTTGATTTAACACGAGAAAGGTTGATTTAACACTAGAAAGGTTGATTTAACACTGAGAAAGGTTCATTTAACACTGAAAAGGTTGATTACACTGAGAAGGTTGATTAACACTGAAAGGTATTTACACTGAAAGGTATTACACTGAAAGGTTCATTTAACACTGAAAGGTTCATTTAACACTGGGTCTTTAACCAAAGGTTGATTTACACTGAGAAAGGTTGATTTAACACTGACAAGGGCTAATTAAACTGCAAATAAAGGTAATATACTGAAAACTAAGATAATTACATTTAAAACAAAGGTAAATTTCACTGAAAATAAAGGTAATTACACTAAAAAAATGTAATGACCCAATTCAACCCTAATTGTGTTAATCAGGTCAGAATAATTACATTTAGCTGTAGGTGTGTGTGACAAATACAGACATAGACACACACACACACACACAGATAGATAGATACTTATATAAGACACACATACTGGAGAGAGAGAGAGAGTGTTACCTGTAGCGCCTCTGCCATGGTAAAGTTGGCACTGCGATCCATCTCGTCCTCAGAATCACCGGAGTCCCGTTCGATCCCTTCATCATCCGTTCCCCCGTTCACACTCTGCAACACAATTATTAACTTAACATAACTCCTTAAATACGGTACTAACACAACTTAAAGATAAAATATACTATTACTAGACACATTAACATACATACAGATTGATAAATAGGGTTAAATAGGCAATAAATAGGACTAATGCGAGTTGCCGAGTATCTGTACCAATTTTGTTTTCACCTGGACTAATTAAACCCTTTTCACATGGACTAATTAAACCCTTTTCACCTGGACTAATTAAACCCCTTTTTACCTGGACTAATTAAACCCTTTTATCACTCGACATAAACCCTTTTCACCTGGACCAATTAAACCTTTTTTTTTCACCTGGAGTTAATGACCTTAGAGTGAATGAGCACTGGTCATATCACACCAAAGACCAGGATACTGGAGAAGCCTCATGTGGGGGGTGGGGGAGGGAGGGAGTAGGGAGGGGAGGGAGGAAGGGGAAATTGGGGGGTGGGTAGAGGAGATTGGGGAGAGTGGGAGGAGGAGAAGGGAAGGGGGATGGATGATAGAAGGATTTTACTTACCCTATTGACCTCACATCTTATCATAACACTTAACAATAGCACTTTATTCCCCTTACACTTTTATTTCACTAATTAAATAAAAACCAAACCTAACCGCCAGCCAAACCCAACCCAACCTAACCTAACCTAACCTAACCTAACCCAACCCAACCCAACCCAACCAAACCAAACCCGACCAAACCAAACATAACAACCTAACCTAACCAACCCAACCCAACCTAACCTAACCTAACCCAACTCAACTAACCACCAAACCAAACCCAACCAAACCAAACCTAACCAACAACCTAACCCAACCTAACCAAACCAAACCTAACCAAACCAAACCAAACCAAACCCAACCAAACCAAACCTAACCCAACCAAACCAAAAACCTAACCAAACCAAACCTCCAAACCTAACCTAACCTAACCCAACCAAACCACAAACCTAACCCCGCCTTTCTTGACTTGGCTGATTCTATTTTTCCATTGTTTTGGGATTTTTTATATTACAGATTAATTCAGCCAATGATTAAGTCTTCTCTTACTATTCTTGGTTATCATTGGTCAGTTGTTCTCTCTCTCTCTCTCCTACTCCAATGTCACCAATTCTACTCCATTTTCACTCCCTCCTCTCTTCCTCCTCCTCCTCTTCTTCTGGGTATGGAGAATGTTAGATTCGCCAATACTTGAATCTATACAATCACGACACAATCACCATCACTGAGTTTAAACAATCACGACACAATCACCATCGATGACTCTAAACAATCACTACACAATCACCATCACTGAGTTTAAACAATCACGACACAATCACCATCACTGAGTTTAAACAATCACGACACAATCACCATCAATGACACTAAACAATCACTACACAATCACCATCAATGACTCTAAACAATCACTACACAATCACCATCACTGGATCTACACAATCACTACACACACAACAGCGGTCATTAATACACCTTGGTCAGCCACAATCACCAAACAGAAGTGAGAACAGACATTTTCTTAACCCGAAAATAAAGTCTACGTTCTTTACCAGCCGTCTTTCACAATCACCTGTGGTAAGTGGTGACCTGACCTGACCTGACCTGACCTGACCTGACCTAACCTGACCTGAACCTAACGTAACCGCCATTGATGATGATGATGATGATGATGATGATGATGATGATGATGAGAGATGATGATGATGATGGTGGTGGTGGTGATGATGATGTCAGATCTGTGCGGACATTGAGCGAGTCAGTCAGGAGGAGGAGGATGAGTGAGGGATGAGTGAGTGGATGAGTGAGGATGATGAGTGATGGTGACTGAATTAGTGAGTGAATGAGTGAGTGAGTGACAGCTACGAGTCAAACACCTACCAGTACATCGCCACGACATCACTTCAGGCAGGTGCTCGGGAGGTAAGGAGGAGGTGCAGGAGGAGGTGCAGGAGGCGAGGAGGAGGTGCAGGAGGAGGTGCAGGAGGCGAGGAGGAGGCAGGATACGAGGAGGAGGCAGGATACGAGGAGGAGGTGCAAGAGGCGAGGAGGTGGAGGAGAAGAGGCAGGGGGAGGAGAGGAGGAGAACGCTCAGAAGGTGGAGGAGGACGTCAGGAGGTGGAGGAGGACGTCAGGAGGTGGAGGAGGACGTCAGGAGGGGAGGAGGACGTCAGGAGGTGGAGGAGGACGCCAGAGATGGTGGGACGTCAGGAGGTGGGAGGAGGACGTCAGGAGGTGGAGAGGAGGACGCAGGAGGGAGAAGGGTGAGATGGAGGAGGACGTAGGAGGTGGAGGAGGACGTCAGGAGGTGGAGGAGGAACAAGGAGGTGGAGGAGGACGTCAGGAGGTGGAGAGGAGGACGTCAGGAGGTGGAGGAGGACGTCAGGAGAGTGAGGAGGAGCAGGAGATGAATGCACTTTTACGACGACAAGGACGACACTGGACCAACCAACATAGGTGGTCATGATGCTGGTGGTGACCTCAACGAAGAGAGAGAGGAGGGGAGAGGGGGGAAGAGGGGGAGAGAGGGAGGGGTCCGTCACGGTGCTGGTACTGAGATAACTACCTATACAACCACATGGAGGAAGGGGAAGAGGAAGGAGGAGGAGAGGAAGAGGAAGGAGGAGGAGGAAGAGGAGGCGAGGAAGACGCGACACCATATGGAGAGGACAAGGTTGGTTAGAGAGAGAGAGAGAGAGTCAATTATTTCTTTACTATTTAACACCTAACCAGACGATGACCCTAATTTGCATATTCAAACAAGATCAGAATTATTCCCCCCAAAATAAGATGTTTTATCATGGCTGGTACTGTCTCTTAGCCATCACGTGTCTGAGTACTACCTGTCTTTTTGTTTAATGTCTGGAACTAATTAAGACATTAATGAAGGTCTTTTAGGTCAAATAATTAATTACATGTTAAATACAGATTCTTACAGTGCATGAAATTTAGGTTCTAAAATTACGTTCAACAGAGGTTTTAAGAGTGCACACGAGCAGTTCTACGTACATAGTCTGTGTACACACATGAGGGCATACGAGCAAACCACAAGACAAAACACAAACACACACACACACACACACACACACACACACACACACACACACACACACACACACACACACACACACACACACACACACACACACACCCACATACTTGAACAACTACAGGTGCACATGAAAAACTACACATACACACATGAACACTATTATGTACACATCAACTATACGTACATGTGTGTGTGTAAACTACATGTGGTTCACATGACAATATATATCTGAAACTACGCAGAGTGAGGTGGACTTGCACGCAAAATTGGTGAATTGCACGCAAAATTAGTGAGCTGCACGCAAAATTGGTGAACTGCACGCAAATTTAGATACTATACGCAACAAAATGGTATTATACGCAAAATCAAGAAGTTGCACGCAAAATTGTGAGGTGCACGCAAAATTGGGGGACTACACGTTTAACTGGAGGGAAGAAGATACACCATAAAGGTAGACACTGCAATGCATACACAGACTGCACGCAAGAAAAGAGAAGACATCACACGCAAAATGAGGCTCACACTCAAACGGTAGAAATAACACACACACACACACACTAGAACACACACGCAAAAAATAGGCACTGCACTCAAACGTGGGGAGATAGACCCCATGCAAAATAGAAGATGTGTTCCAACTGCACGCAAAATAAGAAAACCACACTCAAAAAGAAAGGAGGCACACAATTATAGGGAGGTCATACACTCAAAATGGGAGGCTGCACAAAAAATATACACTCAAAATGGGAGGTCATACACGCAAAATGGGGTCATACACTCAAATTAAGGAGGGAACGCGCGTAAAACAGTTAAGATAATGCACTCACAAAATAGGGTCACACACATAGGAAGGAGTGCACGCAAATAGGGAAGGATTACACACAAATAGGAAGGAAATGCACGCAAAAGGGAGGTAATGCACGCAAAACAGGTATATGACACGCAAAATAGGTTGAGTATGTACGCCCTAGGACTGCGTATATACAGTAGACATGATATGGGTGTTCAGATTCAGGACACGTCTATGGTCTAATCTGGACACGCTGACATGGTAAGGGCCAAACTAACTACCCCAGGGCTTTGACATGTGGACACGGTGAATAGAGACAGGTGAACGACTCAATAAATTATGGACACGGCGAGGACATGGGTTAACATTAGGACACTCAAAATGGCCATATTAACAATCGAATTGGAAGACTTTTGACATGTGGACATGGTTTACTACCCACTTAAAAGACCATACAGACATGTTAACACAGCGAGGTTATCGGACATGCGGACACGGGGCGACACGACAAGGGCCTTTGACATGGAGCCTGTTAACACACCCTGACATGCGGACAAGGTGCAAGCCACGGGACAGGCGGACACGGTAATAACCCTTGACAGACCCACGCAGGAGCTATGTATCTTAAAACCTGACATGCGGGACACGTATGAAGTACTGTATCACACGTGTCCACTTGTAGCAAAAAACAAACAACAAACAAACACTTTCATGCGTACACGGAAACGGGGGGGAGGAGGGGAGATGAGGAGGGGAGATGGGGAGGAGGGGGAAGAGGAGGGAGGGGGAAGATCACGGACATGCAGATGTGTGTATCACACACAGGAGGATGGAGGTGGGGGAGGGAGGGAGGAAAAGGGGCAATGGGGCAGAAAAGGCAGAAAAGGGGCAAGGGGCAGAAAAGGGGGCAAGGGGCGAAAAGGGGCAAGGGGGCAGAAAAGGGGGGCAGGGGTGCAGAAAGGGGCAAGGGGGCAGAAAGGAGAAAAGGGGCAGAAAAAGGGGGAAAAGGAGGAATAGGTATAACATGCGTCGTACCTGGTCGTTTGAAGACACAACATCGGCGCCGAGTGACACGACCAGCCAGGGTCCCTGAAGCGTGTGGCAGCGTGTGGGGGGTGGGGGGGTGTTATCATGGTGGTGGTGGTGACA